GCTTCAGCACTTGGAAGCGGTCTCGTGAGCAGATGCTTCCAGTACAGTGCATTGTTTGAGGTGTTTTGCTATTCCCATGAGCATTGAATACACGCTATTGCCCACTGCCGCCGAGTCAATTTTGGTCCTATCGACCCTATAGGGCAGAGCAAACTGCTCCATAGGGTTTCAGGCCTATAAGTATTTACAGGAACAGATAGCCTCATCTTTCTCCAGAAAACTAGTTGGTTGGTTTGAACTGCCTACCATGTGGTTAGCAGTCAAATGCTTAGCCCATAGCACAGTAACATGATGATACTCATTGTGTAGTACAGACTATATAATGCACCCATAAAACCTAATCTCTCTCCCTCTCAGAGCAATCGAGGGAATTCCAAATCATAACCCTATAGGGAAGGGTGGAACTTCCCCTGTGGGTTTCTGAGACCACAACTGTTCACGGGGCTAGAAAGCCTCATCTTTCCCCAACAGAGCTGCTGGTGGTTTCAAACTGCTGACCTTTCAGTTAGGAATCTGGCGCATAATGGCCTAACCCGTAGCTCACAGCAGTCGTAGGTGGTGACTCACAGTACCTGCTGCACACGCAGTATCAACCTGCAGCTTCTGGGGAGGGCGGCCCAGGACAGGGAGGTGGGAACCTAGCATCTCCCCCAGTGCTTGGAGCAAGACCCACTGGGGGTTAGCCTTTGTCTCCTCCATACTGTCTGGCCCCATCCATGGTCATCTCTCTAGCCCCAGAGTGTAATGAATTCTTCATTGCACAGTCTTGTGTTTAATGAGCCCCTCCCTGGAGACTGGAGCTCCCACTGTGTCCCCCCACCCCCGCCCCCCACCCAGCACAACCTGAGCCTCCAGGGAAGGGACCATCCTGCAATCTCAGACTGCTTCCTGGAGGAGGTAGGCTTCTCAGCAGGGCTGCACGGGAGTCCACGTCAGTTAGAAGGAGTCCCCAGTTAAGTGCTCTCCTGGCCAGCAGGTTGTCGTGTCCGATGCCCCACCCCAGGGACACCTCAGAAAGAGCCTGGGGAATCGACTCTGCAAAGCCTGCAGTGCTGTTGCACGCTGCATGTGGGTGTCTGTCTGCAGGCCCCAGCTCAGGCTCGAAGGCTGCTGCCTGCCACAGCCGTCCATTCACAGAGCTGGGGGGCTGGGGCCGGGCCACCCGGGGAGAGACAGGCTGGGATCATGGCTGCAGTGTGTGCTTGGGGTACAACAGATGAGCCTGTAACCAGTCACACGTCCCTCAGCGTCTCAAAGAGGGCAGCGCCCTGGGACTTGCAGATGGGACAGTCCAGTCGGTGCCTGTCAAGGTTCGACTCAGAAATACTGGGGTGGGGAGGGACAACCCCCTCAACTGTAGGGTGGCCGTGAGTCTGAGGTGCTGCCTTCCTGAATGGCCCTGGGTTGCTTCCTGTCAGGACGGGCTGAGCCTGTCCCCAGTAGCTCACCCCTGCTGGCCCTGGGGCCTGGCAACAGCCCCACCCAGTCCTGCCCTGTGAACTCCTGGTAGTCTGCGCAGCCCTGTGCTGGAGTGCGGGGTGTGGTGGGGAAGACCGGGACTGTGGGAGCCCACTCGGGAGGGAAAGGACCTGAGTTGCTGCCCCGGGGCAAGACCTCAGTGGACCCTGAAGAGCAATGGTTCTCAATCTCCCTCATGCCCGACCCTTTCATACAGTTCCTCATGCTGCGGTGACCCCCAACCAGAAAATTATTTTCGTTGTTACTTCATCACTATCATTTTGCTGCTGTGATGAATCAGGTGATGGAGACCCACAGGTTGTGAACCGCTGCTCCAGAGGGTCAGGGCTGCATGGCTGTGGCAGGGAGGAAGGGGAATCGGATGTGCAAAGACTCAGGTGTGTGTGTGTGTGTGTGTGTGTGTGTGTGTGTGTGTGTGTGTACACCAAGTCAGGAGCCCCCAGAAATGGGAAGTGTGATGGTGGGGCCAGGGCAGAGAGGGTAGTAGGAGGGGGTGGTGAGGCATGCTCAGATGCTGGGGACAGGTGTGGAGGCAGAGAGGCAGCTGCAGTTGGGGTGTCCTGACCAGCACCCCTAGACCCTCAGCCCCAACCCTTTTCCTAGTGACTTGTACAGCTGACCCAGCAGAATCTGGGGGGTTCAGGGCCACAAGGCAGAGATACTGGCTCCAGGCCACATGTACTGTGGCTGCCAGAGAGCAGCAAGGATACCTCTAGGCCACTCTGCCTCGGACGGACGGACAGACGGATGGATGGACGGGGTCCATGCCTGGATGGAGACCCATGCACTCGGGAAATCTGGACAGCCTGGGTCTCTGTGGCCTCAGAGCCCTCCCGCCCATGGGGACGATAGGGGGGTGGTTGATCCCTTTTCCCGGCCCTCCTTCTCCTCACGTGCCCGCTCCCTCCCT